GGTGACCCCATGGTGACGTTTTATGGTGTCCCCACGTTGTCCTACAGACCCTGGCACTGACCAAATGTCCCCATGGTGACCTCATGGTGACGTTTTATGGTGTCCCCATATTGTCCTACAGACCCTGGCAGTGACCAAAGGTCCCCAAGGTGACCCCATGGTGACGTTTTATGGTGTCCCCACAGTGTCCTACAGACCCTGGCACTGACCAAAGGGTCTCCATGGTGACCCCATGGTGACGTTTTATGGTGTCCCCACATTGTCCTACAGACCCTGGCAGTGACCAGAGGTCCCCATGGTGACGTTTTATGGTGTCCCCACATNCCACATTGTCCTACAGACCCTGGCAGTGACCAGAGGTCCCCATGGTGACGTTTTATGGTGTCCCCACATTGTCCTACAGACCCTGGCAGTGACCAAAGGTCTCCATGGTGACCTCCTGGTGACGTTTTATGGTGTCCCCACGTTCTCCTACAGACCCTGGCACTGACCAAAGGGTCCCCAGTGTGACCTCAGGACCTCCTGGAGATGTTTTATGGGGTCACCACAGCGTCCTACAGGTTCTCACACTCAACTTAGGAGTCCCCATGATGGGTTTGGGGGGTCCCTGAAGATGTTCTATGGGGTCACCATGCTGTCCTACAGACCTCCAGTGACTCTGGAACCCCTCCTGACAACCTCAGTCCAACTTTGAGATGTTTTATGGAGTCACCATACTGTCCTACAGACCTCCAGTGACTTTGGAGCCTCTCCTGACAACCTCAGAACCTCTTTGAGATGTTCTATGGGGTCACCATACTGTCCTACAGACTGAAAGTGACTTGGAAGCTCCTCGTGATGTCCTCAGACCAACTTTGAGATGTTTTATGGAGTCACCACAGTGTCCTACAGACCTCCAGTGACTTTGGAGCCCCTTGTGATAACCTCAGAACCTCTCTGAGATGTTCTATGGGGTCACCATGTTCTCCTACAGACCTCCAGTGACTTTGGAGCCCCTCACAATCACCTCAGTCCAACTTTGAGATGTTTTATGGAGTCACCACAGTGTCCTACAGACCTCCAGTGACTCTGGAGCCCCTCCTGACAACCTCAGAACCTCTCTGAGATGTTCTATGGGGTCACCATGTTCTCCTACAGACCTCCAGTGACTTTGGAGGCCCTCACAATCACCTCAGTCCAACTTTGAGATGTTTCATGGAGTCACCACAGTGTCCTACACACCTCCAGTGACTTTGGAGCCCCTTGTGATAACCTCAGAACCTCTTTGAGATGTTCTATGGGGTCACCATGTTCTCCTACAGACCTCCAGTGACTCTGGAACCCCTCCTGACAACCTCAGTCCAACTCTGAGATGTTTTATGGAGTCACCACAGTGTCCTACAGACCTCCAGTGACTTTGAAGCCCCTCACAATCACCTCAGTCCAACTTTGAGATGTTTTACGGAGTCACCACGGTGTCCTAGAGACCTCCAGTGACTTTGGAGCCTCTTGTGATAACCTCAGCACCTCCTGGACATGAGTCCAACTTTGAGATGTTCTATGGGGTCACCACGGTGTCCTACAGACCTCCAGTGACTTTGGAGCCCCTCTGTGATAACCTCAGAACCTCTTTGAGATGTTCTATGGGGTCACCATGTTCTCCTACAGACCTCCAGTGACTTTGAAGCTCCTTGTGATGTCCTCAGACCAACTTTGAGATGTTTCATGGAGTCACCACAGTGTCCTACAGACCTCCAGTGACTCTGGAACCCCTCCTGACAACCTCAGTCCAACTCTGAGATGTTCTATGGAGTCACCACGTTCTCCTACAGACGTCCAGTGACTTTGAAGCTCCTTGTGATGTCCTCAGACCAACTTTGAGACGTTCTATGGAGTCACCACAGTGTCCTACAGACCTCCAGTGATTTTGGAACCTCTCCTGACAACCTCAGAACCTCTTTGAGATGTTCTATGGGGTCACCATGTTCTCCTACAGACCTCCAATGACTTTGGAGCCCCTTGTGATAACCTCAGCACCTCCTGGACATGAGTCCAACTTTGAGATGTTTTATGGAGTCACCACAGTGTCCTACAGACCTCCAGTGACTCTGGAACCCCTCCTGACAACCTCAGTCCAACTCTGAGATGTTCTATGGGGTCACCATACTGTCCTACAGACCTCCAGTGACTTTGAAGCTCTTCATGATGTCCTCAGTCCAACTTTGAGATGTTTTACGGAGTCACCACAGTGTTCTACAGACCTCTAGTGACTTTGGTGGCCCTCACAACCACCTCAGTCCAACTTTGAGATGTTTCATGGAGTCACCACAGTGTCCTACACACCTCCAGGGACTCTGGAACCCCTCCTGACAACCTCAGTCCAACTCTGAGATGTTCTATGGGGTCACCATGTTCTCCTACAGACCTCCAGTGACTTTGAAGCTCCTCACAATCACCTCAGTCCAACTTTGAGATGTTCTATGGAGTCACCACGGTGTCCTACAGACCTCCAGTGACTTTGGAGCCCCTTGTGATCACCTCAGCACCTCCTGGAGATGTTCTGTGGGGTCACCATACTGTCCTACAGAAGTCCAGTGACTTTGAAGCTCCTCGTGATGTCCTCAGACCAACATTGAGATGTTTTACGGAGTCACCACGTTGTCCTACAGACCTCCAGTGACTTTGGAGCTCCTTGCAATCACCTCAGCACCTCCTGGAGATGTTCTATGGGGTCACCATGCTGTCCTACAGACCTCCAGTGACTTTGGAGCCCCTCCTGACAACCTCAGCACCTCCTGGAGATGTTCTCCGATGTTCCACCACCTCATCCC